CAGGACCAATCTGTGAAGGTTCTGGAGTGGCATCAGGACCACTCTGTGAAGGTCCTGGAGTGGCTTCAGGACCACTCTGAAGGTTCTGGAGTGGCTTCAGGACCACTCTGTGAATGTCCTGGAGGGGCTTCAGGACCACTCTGTGAAGGTCCTTGAGTGGCAAAAGGGCCACTCTGTGAAGGTCCTGGAGTGGCTTCAGGGCCACTGTGTGAAGGTCCTGGAGTGGCTTCAGGACCACTCTGTGAAGGTTCTGGAGTGGCTTCAGGACCACTCTGTGAAGGTTCTGGAGTGGCTTCAGGAACACTCTGTGAAGGTCCTGGAGGGGCTTCAGGACCACTCTGTGAAGGTCTTGGAGTGGCTTCAGGACCACTCTGTGAAGGTCCTGGAGTGGCTTCAGGGCCAATCTGTGAATGTCCTGTAGTGGCTTAATGACCACTCTGTGAAGGTTCTGGAGTGGCTTCAGGACAACTGTGTGAAGTTCCTTTGGCTTCAGGACCACTCTGTGAAGGTCCTGGAGTGGCTTCAGGACCACTCTTAAGGTTCTCGAGTGGCTTCAGGGCCACTCTGTGAAGGTCCTGGAGGGGATTCAGGACCACTCTGTGAAGGTCTTGGAGTGGCTTTAGGACTACTCTGTGAAGGTCCTGGAGTGGCTTCAGGACCACTCTGTGAAGGTTCTGGAGTGGCTTCAGGGCCACTCTGTGAAAGTTCTGGAGTGGTTTCAGGGCCACTCTGTGAAGGTCCTGGAGGGGCTTCAGGGCCACTCTGTGAAGGTTCTGGAGTTGTTTCAGGGCCACTCTGTGAAGGTCCTGGAGTGGCTTCAGGACCACTCTGTGAAGGTTCTGGAGGAGCTTCAGGGCCACTCTGTGAAGGTCCTGGAGGGGCTTCAGGGCCACTCTGTGAAGGTCCTGGAGGGGCTTCAGGACCACTCTTTGAAGGTCCTGGAGTGGCTTCAGGGCCACTCTGTGAAGGTCCTGGAGTTTTTTCAGGACCACTCTTTGAAGGTCCTGGAGTGGCTTCAGGGCCACTCTGTGAAGGTCCTGGAGAGGCTTCAGGACCATTCTTTGAAGGTCCTGGAGGGGCTTCAGGACCACTCTGTGAAGGTCCTGGAGGGGCTTTAGGGCCACTCTGTAAAGGTCCTGGAGTGGCCAAGCCAGAGTCCAGACTTGAATCTGATTGAACATCCCTGGAGTTATCTGAAAATGGCTCTGCAAACATCTTCCCTCCAACCTGATGGATCTTGAGAAGAACTGCAAAGCAGAGTGGGACAAACAGTCTAAAGACAGTAGTGCTAAGTTTGTGACATCATATTCAAGAAGATTTGAGGCTGTAACTGTTGCTGAAGGTGGATCAACAAAGAGTCCAGCAAAAGCTGTGAATACTTACATAAATATGAATTCTTAGTTTTATTTTTTTTTTTTAATTACAAAAATCTCAACCCTTTTTTCACATTGTCATAATGGGTTATTGTTTGTAGAATTTTGAGGAAAGAGATTAATTGAATACAATTTGAAATAAGGCTGTAACAACAAAATATGGAAAAATTCAAGCCCTGTGAATATTGTCTGTATACAACTTTTTCACCTTCATTGGAGTCACAGTGTACTTCAGTACTTCACTCTTGGCCTCTGAGAGCCACCATCCTCAGTGTTTTATTTCTCTGCTCAAACACATCTGGTTCAACGGTAACTAACCTCATCATGTTCTGCAGAAAACTTTTTAATCACCCATTGTTTCAAATTATGTGTGTTGAGGCAGAAAATCATCCACAACATGCAGGATGGCAACATCTTTCAGACTGGCCATCCATGATGGTGAGGGTCCAGAAGCTAAAAAAGTTCTCAGGTGGGATTTGAACTGTGAACCAATTCAGTTTATTTATACAGCACCAAGTCACAACAGAAGTCATCTCAGGGCACTGAACAGAAACACACACACACACACACATATATATATATATATATATATATATATATATATATATATATATATATATATGTAAAATAAGTAATAAGTTAACATATATAAAAAAAACAAGTTAATAACATTATTTATCTGAGGAGCAGACTGCTCTGAATTTAACTCATCACAGACTCTCATCTTGAGCAGGTATGAAGGTGACAGTGGAAAGGAAAAACTCCCTCATGAAGAAGAAACCTTTAGCAGAACCAGGCTCAGGACAAGTGAACTTTTCAAATGTTTGCCACAAGACCACACAGCTCATATTAGATGGTCTTATTACACTTTTGGTTCTGATTATAAAAATGTACTTTTGATGCAGAAATCAACAACAACGACAAAACATTGACACAACAAATCAAAAAGACTGAAGCTTTTCCTTTTGATGAGGTAAACGTGATGCCTTTTGTGATCTGGCGCTACATAATTTTGTCCTTTCACTAAAATATTGTGTGTTTACATTGTTGTTGAGAGTTAATAAACAAAATGTTTTATTTTCTTTTTCTATTAATTTAATTGTAATTCAACTTTCTATGGCTCGTGTAGTGGCCGACAGCGTTTAGCTGCAGCAAATACATGAATGATGCAAACTCACTCATCACTGTGAAATCACTGTAATGTCACTTTAACTGGTGATACGTGACTCATCTGTACTGCTGATTATCCATGCTGCTGATCTCTTGCTGCTAATTATCCATGCTGCTGAACTTATACTGCTGATTATCCATGCTGCTGATCTTTTGCTGCTAATTATCCATGCTGCTGAACTTATACTGCTGATTATCCATGCTGCTGATCTCTTGCTGCTAATTATCCATGCTGCTGATCTCATGCTGCTTTATTCATTCATATCCATCTGCTCCCTACAGACTCATGTTCAGGCTGCTGTTTAATACACCATATTATTTTACATTGTTTAGTTTATATCTTAGATCCTTGTATACTGTTTTTTATATATATATATATATATTTTTTTTTTTTGTTATTTTTGGGTGTAACTGGAACTCTGTGTACACAATTTTGTTCCACCTCATGTACTACATGTGATGTGAATGATAATAAAGAACCTTGAACTTGAACTCCAAAAAAGACAAGCACAAAAACCAAATGCAGAATAAATAATAAAAAAATAAAAAATCTGCCGTCACAGAAACAGACAGTTTTGTTCTGTTGGACTTTGGGTTTTTGTGTGTTTTAGAGTTTGCATCATTTATGCGGGGCTGCACGGTGGCACAGTTGGTAGAGCTGTTGCATCTCAGCGAGAAGGTCACCAGTTCAAATCCTGGTCCGGTGCCTTTCTGGGTGGAGTTTACATGTTCTCTCCGTGCATGTGTAGGTTTTCTCCAGGTACTCCAGTTTCCTCCCACAAACCAAAAACATGCATGTTAGACTGATTGGTAACTCTAAATTGTCTCTAGGTGTGAGTGAGAGAGTGAATGGTTGTTTGTCTCTGTGTGTCCCTGTGATGGACTGGAGACATGTCCAGGGTGTCCCCTGGATGGATCATTCATGAGTTTATGAAGTGTTTGTACCTGTTGACCTCCAGACTCGTAGGTATACAACTTGATTATTTTGGTCTGTGAGACAAAAAGTTTGGACACCACAGATTTAGGCTTTCAATTATCCATCCATCCATCCATCCATCCATCCATCCATCCATCCATCCATCCATCCATCCATCCATCCGTCCATCCATCCGTCCATCCATCCGTCCATCCATCCGTCCGTCCATCCGTCCATCTGTCCGTCCGTCCATCATCTTTACCCAATTCTTCCTTTTCAGGTTGTGGGGGTCACTGGCGCCCATGTCTTGCAGTCACTGTGCGAGAGGTGGGGAACACGTGGACAGGTCTCCTGTCCATCACAGGGACACACAGAGACAATTTAGAGTTACCAATCAGTCTAACATGCATGTTTTGGGTCTGTGGGAGGAAACTGGAGTACCTGGAGAAAACGCACACATGTACATAGAGAAAATGCAAACTCCACCCACAAAAGATCCGGATCAGGATTTGAACCGGCAACATTCTTGCTGAGAGGCAACAGCTCTACCAAGTGAGCCATCTTTAGGGTTCAGTTGTATCCACTGAACCACTGATCCACTGAACCACTGATCCACTGATCCA